GGGGGGGGGGGGGGGGGGGGAGCGCCCCCCAAACTGAAAGAAAAGGAGGTCAGCATCAAGGGGGTTAGCTCCCTTGAGCCCCCTCCCCCATCCATTACACCCCCGATCAATTTTGATACAGTAACAAATGGCTTTATTAGCATGACTTTACATAGAAGTATTGCTAAAGCTTATTAGTTAATTATAAATATTTACAAATGCAAAATGTTTTGTGGTAATATGACACTGTGAGTAATACAAGAAATGAAGTTATTGATATAAAGAAAGACCTAGTTTACAAATGAGTACTCTATTTACAGTATATATGTAATTGAAGAAGTTTGGGAGTTAGTTAGATAGCCTATATTGACTGTCAGCATTCCGAGCTTCAAGGCGTTTAGATCCCTTCTCAAACCATAAAGAGATAAATTTTGATAATTTTATCACGGTTTCTTTATCAGTTGTTTTCATTATCTCAACTGATAAACTGTGTTCGTTTAATTTGTCAACCACAATTCATTGCGCGCCCAAACCTCCTTGGCGGCCATTTTAATGGCGGAATAATAGATGTTTCGGTTTTCAATCCATAATATATTACTACCATCCTGTGGTTATACTTGCTAATTTTTACTTTTTTATACTAAAATTGCACCAAAGAAATGTTTATAATCTTCATTTGTTGCTATTTCTCACTACCGAAGGTAAAGATGTGAACAAATGCATTGTGGTTGACAATGATTCTTTAAATCTGTTTCATTGGTGAGATCACATTCCAAGTCATTTAATATAGTCCGATTAATAGTCATTTAATATAGTCCAATACAATATAGTCCGATTTACACTACGAAACCCGGGCTCGTCCCTACAGGTTATAGTATCTGAAGTGCAATAATGCGCCTAACCGGGGTTCGACCAGATTAGTCGACCCTGTAGTCTGGAATAGATTCTTCAGACCATTAAGCACATCAATCCAGGCCGCTTCGAATTCGGAGCGAGATAAAATTTGGAACAACAACGATAATACACAACTGCAGATTAACATTATTGATTGCATTTTCCAAGTATGGGAAAAAAACTGAACTGATTTCCCGCTTTCACAAATCATTTCGATTTTCGTCCCGCTTCGTACTGGTTTTACAAAAGTACAAGTTTGCTCGTCTGAATTCAGACGGCCAATCGTTGCCTTCACAAAAATTCAGAAACAATAAACCCTACGCAAATAAATTACCAATAGAGAAATATGGAGGGCAAGCCTATACTTATATCTAAAGACTTATATACTTTCAGCTTGTAGTGGCGATTGTTGTGATCACAGTAACTCTTCTCTACTTGAGGAACGTAGTTATTATACATGGTAAGTGATCTCAAGGAAATGAAATATACGCTTGCTAAGGGCTGATTAGATATCCTGGGTGCCTGGGATGGGGTGGCAGATTAAAAAAATCATGCAAAGAGTGGAGTCTAAAAACAAAATTCAGGCAAGCATGTAGGGAAAGAAAAAAAATCCTGCAACTACATGGAATATACAGAAATATATAGAAAAATTCCTGCACAACTTCTACACCAGAAATTCGACGAAGCTCCGAACTTAATAAACGCAAGGAAAATTTCCCCCCCCCCCCCCCCCCAGGATATCTATGTAATAGTCCATCCCTAATATAGGAATGCCTTTCTTCCGTCTGAGACATTAGGGAGATAGGTTGGTTATTATAACTGATAGGTAATGGTGGTGGACACGAGCAGTCAATCTCGACGAATCATGCAGGAAATTATTGCCAAAGGGGTTATAAACTACCCTAATCTGCTTTTCAATACAGTCGCAGCTAAAATATAATCTACAGTAATGTTCGGAAGGAAGGAATGTTCCTTATGTCCATACACAAGGTGAATAATTTTAAGCTTAATTAGTTAAAAGTAAAGTGATCTTACTCTGAGATAATTACCACTAACAGTCGTTATGACCAGAGACACTGCCTAGAAAGTATTAAACACAAATCATCATGCTTTGAATAGAGATCCTTTACAAAAACAACCAATTGGAATTCCAATATGAATTCCTATTGGAATCCATTGAACTTCGGACAGAAAAAATCATTCCAACAGGAAATTGTCCCAAATTCCAAGAAGTTTGCGTTGTCACTTTAACTCACCCTGATAAAGATACTAAACTTGGTTGCCGTGTGAACGAATAAACTGACTTGGTTTATCCTTTTATCCCATTCTCGTTCTAATCTTTCATTCGCAGGGTTCACCAGGGCAAGGGAAATACCAACTGCAGAACTTGTGAGAAAGAGAGAATTGGAGCAGGCCGAAAATACATCAAGACAACCATATCAGAAAAATACATCGTGCCCTGTTCTTTCAATACAAAGTCAGCGCAATGATAATATGAAAACCAAGTATTCTGACAAGTGCAAACCTTGGAAACAAACAGAAGATATCTGTGGTATTGCTAACAAATTCTACTCTATTAACAAGGATATTTACTGCAGGGGAAAACCAAAGAATACTAGCAGGAATATCTGTAGTTTTGCTTTCAGTAATCAGGTCGTCGATAAAACACCGGAAATCAATTGCGATAATGAAATTTGTCGGAATGGTAGTTTATTTGTTGGCAGCGTGAACCCAGAGATTGGAGTAGTAACATCACAAGACTGGAAAGAATTTCGCTCAGCAAAATCAGCTGAACTTGCTTTGCCTGGGATCATTTCAAATAATGTAAAAAATGGACTCACTTTTTGTTTGATTCGTTGTGTCAAGAACGATGAAAATATTGACCAATTGTTAACATTTCCACACATTTTCACAAAGTATCGTGAAAAATTGCGTAATAAACGTCAAATGAGCATTCGTGTTAAACGAAAGAGCCGACGAAAACAACGTGGAAAGGAAAGAAAGTTGTTTAATATCAATATTTTATTGTTGGATTCAGTCTCACGCAATCATTTCTATCGTATGCTGAATAAGACTGTCAACACTTTACGACAAGCAGCATTAGGTCCGGACGTCCTTATACTGGATTACGAATTTTTACAAAGTCTGGCTCCATATACTTACAAAAACATCAAAGCTCTCTTCACAGGGACTATAGAAAGAGAAGCTCATAACTTGAATCAAAACATCGGGATAAATACCTTATACGGGCATCTTAAAAGACATGGCTATCGCACTCTATTTCAAGAAGATAGTTGCTGGTACGATCGTTGGGGAACTGTACTGGAAAACAGCATCAGAAAAGATAAACTACCTCAGAGTATCGAAGACTTAAAAAAATCATGGAGACACTTCAGAAATTTAACAAAGACATATTCAGTTGATGATTACGGGTTGACACATTTTAGCTGTGTTGTATTCAAGATGCATGGCATACCAAACATGTTTAATAAACCGCTAAAAGTCTGCTACGATGGACAACCAATTTCGTCTTACTTTTTGCGCTATACACGAGATTTTTTAAACCAAGCAAACTCAAGGAAAGGCAAAGGACCAACGTTCTCATATCTTCACACTAATTTCGGCCATGAAGAGACAGGGTTACGCATCAAAGCCTTAGACGATGCATTATCAGAGTTTGTACGAGACATGGCGAAGCGGAAGGACACGTTGACTGTTATATTATCAGATCACGGTCCCAAGACAACGGTATATTCTCGAGACTATCTTCATGGCAGATACGAAACATACGACTCACTTTCATTTATGATTATTCCTAAAAAAGTCCAGCATGGATTAGGAGAATCAAGAGTGGCTTCACTTGTTAGAAATCAAAAGTCTTTAATAACAATGCAAGATATTCATGAGATGCTAACAGAAATGACTCAACTTCATAAAAGAAAAAGTGCATTATTTTCTGATATTTCTAAACGAACCTGTGATTCCATACTAATGATCAGTTACGGCGTTTGCAAATGTAGAGACTGGGAACGACTCTTCATTGACCAATCACCGCGCTTCATACAGTTGGCTGAATTTGCAACTGAATTATTGAACGACAAGGTACGTGAACAATTCTCGACATCCAATCGGTCTGGCTTCGGAAAATGCCGTAAGTTACAGCTACATCGCATCTGGAATATACGACAACGCATTTCAAATGCTTCCTATATCACAACTTTTGATTTAGTTGTACAGCCGTTTTATACAATTTTTCTCGTTCAGACAAAACATAGTGAAAAGGATGGAATAGTTGATAATATCAGCTTACAATCATGGAGAAGAGTAAGCCTTTACCGTCATTATATTAAATGCAAAGACAAATCTGTTGATATGGAGTTATGTGTTTGCAACCTTAGAAAACGAAATTCCAATAAACGACTGTTAGAAATTATCGAGGAAGCGAAAGTTAGTAAAGACAACGAAATTATTAAGACCAGAACATCATGTCTGTATATTTTGCTTACTAAAGTGGAAGACAAGCTGGAGTCGATATTCTCTTATGATGCTATAAATACTTGTGCGATACGTTATATTTTTACAGTTGATAGTTTACAGAACGTGGAAAATTTTCAAGGCAGGAAAATTATTAAGGAACTACAGCCAAATACAGACACATTCCTATTTTCTGTTGTTGCCAAAGAAAAAAGAAAGCCAACGTTCAAATACTACTTCAAAAGAACATAATTAATCTGGAATTAGGACCGAAAACCGACAGATGCGACAATTAATTCTTCCAAAGGAACCCAATTTTAAATATTTTTTTACATCTATGAAATAAAAGAACCAATTAATTGAAATTTGAATTCGCCTCTAGTGACAGCACATTGGGGTTATTCTTGAAACAGACTGGTAACTGAAGGGAAATGACAATAAAAGTTATGTTTGTCTCATTTGAAAGTATTTTTTAAATGATATATGAAGATCTTAAATTATATTATAATTATTGCTTGGTTTTGGAAATATCCATGCAGCGTCATGTTGTGTCTATTATAAATTTGACCTAGCTAATTAACTGGGATGTTGTTGAAGTCACAACGGGGTAAACCTGTTAAAACTATTATTTCTGTGACTGCATTTCAAGGACAAGGGACGTTTTAATTTACATGCTCTGAACCAATTGGAAACTGAATAGGGGGTTCGCAAAAAAATTTAGAATATAGTTTCTATAAATGGACAAAAATGACCTGGTTTACGCACGTCCTATCTTCCCCTAGAAATCAGGAAATGCCATTTTCCAATGGCGGTGTGAGAAAGCCTATAACATTTCAAACAGGGACGAATCTGACACCTTCATACTAAGTTCTCCCACTCTGATACCGAAAAAATATGATCATGTTATTTGTACCCCATTCTGTATATTGCAGTTCTAAATTTTTAATTCCGTTTCTAAGAATACATGTTTTATATCATCGTATGATAATATTCATTCGAATATTGACAATGCATATACAATAGACATGTAAATATTTTATAAAAATAAAGAAAGCTCTGAGAAAATAAATATGTTTTCAACTATATATAAATTACTGTTCTATGCACACAACGGTATACGTTACAGTTTCGCAGCTTCTCGCATCCTTCGTTCGCAACATCGTGCAGAAAGGCATACATCATGGAGCTAACGATCTCTATCCTTGGTACCTACAACAAGCAATAGATAGTCGTCGTATGTTGCACAATTCTCAAACTCATCAATAAGTCACGATCAGCAATTTATTTGAAGTAATAGTTCAAATACGAGGGAGAGGACTTTGCCGGGATTTCAATGTCCAAGTACATTTAGAAACGGACTGTCTTAAAGGATCGTTCATTATTTATACCCTAGAGTCGGGAGGGGAAAAAAGAGGAGGCTCGGTGCATTGTCCTCCCATATATGCAGCTAGTCAACGTCGTCCATCGAATATTAATGGAGTCCCTGTGGTTGGGGAGGGTGGCATCATAACTGCGATAAATGTGGGATGGGTGTCACCTATGGGCGCAACATTTTTAAGCCAAAACAAAGGATCCTTTCATTTCGGTCATCCTTTCATAAACGGTCATTGCTTTTGTTGAAGTCTTGTTGGAAGGGGCTTGTTAAAAACCAAAAGAAAAATTGTGGCACTGTTTGCAAATAACACATCTCTGCTGAACGGGAAATTTTTCTCAAACATGAAAGTTTTGGATTGTGTAAAACAAATTAAAACAAACGTCACACAACGCAACATCTACCTCTTAATCTTCGCATCATCTATCTCTGAGATAGGCAGACATCGCATCATCTGTCTCTTAATTTTAATCATCGCATTATTAGGAGCTTCATTATTAGGAGCATCAAAAGGGGGACTCATGACATTTTTGTATTTGATATAAGAATCTCCCTAGATTGGAAGTTGCATCATTGCTAACAAAAAAGCAAGATAAGAACACGCGACTGCTTCGAAGTTCCGTTTGAGATACATACCTCGGTTTAGAGACAATTTCTGCTGTAAATTGTCTAGTGTTTGTATCTTTCTGTCAAGATCTTCTGAATCAAAGTGAAGAGAGGTCCTGGCATTACGTCTTGGGTCTGTTTGATATGGGTATGCGGAGAATGGCGGACGAATACTTGAATGGCGAGATCCTTGACTGTTTGGTCTTTCTCGGACAGGTGGAGAATGAGACATGCTACAACAAAGATGCACATATTAAAAAGTATTAGTAAGTATACTTGAAGTTTAAATGAAACTTTTGGCATGTGTATATTCAAGCAACTAGAGCTTTTGTACAAATTAGCGAGATTCTTACTAGAGACGGATGGCCGTACACTTTAATATATAAACGGGACAAACAGACAGATTATCCGTCAAGATGAACTATCTCTATTGTTGGTTCTGACGGATGATCCTTATTCTTGGGTTTCATATGACGTCACAAAAGTGTGTGTGTGTGTGGGGGGGGGGGGGG